ATTTAAAAGGGATGTGGAAATATCCCAGCATCTCCACCATTTTTTTTTTTTCCTTAAGTAAATGGGTCTGGAGTCTGGCGGTAAATAAAGCATTAACATTAACTTTTAATAAGGCTCTTATTCAAATTGCCTCTTCAATTATTAAAGCCTAAAAGGATGTTTTTAAATTTTTCATTTCTTTACAGAGACTTTAAAAATCACTGAAGCAGCAAACGTGTGCAAAATAAGGTTCCTATTTGACTCATTTTTAGATTTAACTAGTAAAATTTTAAGACCAAAATATGATGAATTAAAATAATACAACAGAAGATAAATATAAGGAATAAAAAGTGGACTTTCTCCAAATAATTTTGCAGTTAAGTTTAGATCTATGGATTATTTTAGGATTATAATAATAGCAATTGATACAATTTAGTCATATTGTGTTTTATTTCCGGAGTTTTATCTCACATAAGAACTTATTAAACATGTTGAGATTAAAAAGCGAGTGTTTATAAATGAAAATACATTTTATGCTTTACTACTTTAATTATCTGTTATTTCCTTATCCCCTGATCCCCTTAGCAGGTCAACTGCAGGGCCAGCAGATTCTGTAACAGCCTTTTCCCCACTGCCATCAGGGAGCTGAACTGTTGAAACTCTAATCAAGCCACAGATCGAGACTCTGCATCACACTTATAAACATCATATTTGCTCTACATGGTGAATTGTTAGATTCCTTTAAATAGAGCTCAACTCATTGTTCTACTGCATTTTGCACCATATATATTTATTTATTTTGCACTGCTCTGAACCTTCCATATCAATGCCTTTTGCATCATGTCTTAAAACTGGTTTACCTTTTCTCCTATATTGTTTACATTTTGATCACTGTTCCAAATTGTAAATGGAAATTTACTGCTAAGCTGTTCATTCACCGCGGAAAAGCTGTATGCATTGAAATTTAATTTGACAATATATTTTATCTAAGTGTACATTTTTCATAAAAGAGTCATTTTCAGTTAAAATCTGGTTTGGTACGGGGCTTCCTTTGACCAATCATTTGCTTTAGCCGTCAGGAAAAACTAATCTGGATTTAAAAACATGAAAAACCCAATAAAAGAGATGTACATTAAGACGAACAACTTAAATCCTGTAAGAGAACTAAAGCTTCTTTATAAGTCATTAAATACACCTTTAGCTTACAGAAAACATTTTGGATTAGGGTTATATCAAGAATATAAGAAAAGTGGTTTGGGCCTACTCCTGTAAGATACTCAATCCATTCAATTCAGTTTATTTATATAGCGCCAATTCACAATATATGTCATCTATGGTTGAGACAAATAATCGGATTAATCATAATTAATAGATTATTGTAATAAGCATCAACTAATTTAGTAATCGATAAATCGTTAACCCATATATACAGACTCTAAAACATGCATTTAGCAGACAGAGCAACCCACACAGCGCAGTAATTGTACCAAACTTGTACGTGCGTACATATATGCATACATATATATATATATACATGCATGCATGCATGCATACATATATGCATGCATACATATATATAAAAACCTTCTGCATTTAAAGTTTAAGAAAAACTTTTTCATCTGTCAATATGCTCTATGCAGAACTCGTCAAATGGTAAAATGTTAGTTTCAACTGGTTTAATTCTGTAAAAATTCATCTTTAAGGATCCTTGGCTATCCAATTATCAATCGATTAATCAAACAAATAATATACAGATTAATCGATTTGCAAAATAATTGTTAATGTAATCTCAAGGCTCTTTACTGAGAAAATTCAACATGAAGTTATTTTTAAGTTCTAAATGTTTCCTCGTTAAAGCAGGTTAATTTACATAAAGCTTATCTTTATAGATTCCATTTTCAAATTCAGAAACCCACAATTAGGGAGTCCTAAAGTGGAAAAAAGAAACCAAATAAAAACAACTGAAACTTCCTGATTAATCATTCTGTAACAAGCAGATGTTCTTCTCAATTTTATTATATCTTTTGTTTTATATATACAAAATTGTTTAGTCATAAATAGAAACTGAACAATAGCACAATTCTGTTTTTATTTTTAATCTGAGGCACTTTCTGAATTGGATCCAATTTCTCTAACTTTGCTTTCTTTTTTGACTTATAGTGCAATTTTGATGCTGCAAAATAACAACAGTTAATTGTTATAAAGAGGGTAGATGTGTAATTGTCTTTACAGGCTATATTCCTGACTCTGACTTGCATGACTCCTTTGTTGAAATGAGCTACACGCTAACAAAGGGCAGCAGCGGCGAGATCAAGGCCAGAGGGTGGGTGCCGACAGACCAATGACTGCTGCCAACAAAATGTTTCATCAAGGTGACAACCTCCACTCCTCTGCGAAAGGGTAATTTAGCTGCTCTACAGCCCTCTGGAGAGCCTCCAAACACCAACACCAATTGCATTGCGAGATATTGATTATAAAACAGACAGAGGGGATGTAAAGTAATTGAGCAGCCCATGTTAAGCCACACGCTCCGCCAACCATGTGCATAACAATTCAATGCTGCCTCCTCTGTGACCCTGTCTTCTAACCCCATTCGGGGGGGTGCAACAAAAAAAAAGGATGGGGGGGGGTCCCTTTTGAGATCAATGAGAGAAAGCTGGTGGCAACACTTTGCAAGGTTGGGGGAGTTTACTCAGGGATTGCTTTGTCAGGCGGAAATAAAACAGGCCCAGCCCAGATAGAGGCACATTTAAAGGAGTTCAGAGTACAGTGGGCAGAGCCGGCAGCCGAATGTAGGTTAGGAGAGTAATCCTTCAGGCCAGAGCAAAGATGTCAGTGGGTTACAGTAAGGCAACCTGTGTTTGTGTATGCCTGCCGCCGCAGATTAAGTCGCGTGGCATTTGTCCCTGATAAGCAA